GCATTAATAAACCTGCAATAGAATACAAAGAATAGAAGTCCTTTCATCAGCTTGCTTCTCTGTTTTGAGAACACCTCTGCTTTAAAAGTGACAGGATTTTAGCGTGATGTGGAAATGTGTTTTGCTTCACGTTGCTTTTTAAAAGAGTATAATTTCACTTTAAGGGATTTCCCTCTAAGTGCTCAGAAATTGTAACCTGTAACTTGCTTATCTTACTAGCCAGCTTAAAGCTGGATTTGCCAGAAGGCTTTGAACAAGTAAATGCGACCAAAAACTTGTGTTAAAAGACAATTGTTTCTTTAACTTCTTCTAAGTGCCTCAGATCCTGGTTAAAGTTCACAGGCTGGGAGACTTTCTTTTCCCCTTTCCATCTCAGGGATCCAGCTCTCCTTGCAGCTGGCCATAAATGAGGACCAGGCTTTGCCACTCCGTGCTTTCACAAGGTATCGTTAGGTCAGCAAAGCCATCAATTAGGCTGTCTGAAGTTTTATCACCAGCGCAGCAGCAATAAGTGCCGGCCCAGAAAGACTTCTGCTCTTCTACAACTCCTGCAGTTGGAGCCTGTAAAGGCGAGGGTCGTTTGGAGGTCAGTGCCAGCTGGGGGCCACCTCTGTGTCCAAGCGGGGACACCCCGTGCAAGGCGACCGCCCGCCTGCCCTCAGCTCAGGCACCTTTCAACTCGTTAGAAACCCCCAGTCACAGGTACATGTGGTTAATATTAGGCCCAAAATAACCTCTTTTTTTTTTTATCTCAAACTGGGGTGGTTGCCGAGGCTTTTGAGCACTGGTAAAGGCAGTTAGTTGGCTGCGGAGCCTGGATTTAATTTTGCTAGTAATCCAAAAATAAGTGCTTGCATATTTCTTATTAGCTTAATGCTCAGCAATCCACATCAGCACAAGCTAAGCTAAATTAATTTCCCTAAAATAATTTCAAAACTTGCCTATTCACAAAATATCTTTGAAAACAGGGCAATTTTCTATCACTCGGGAGCCACGCTTGTTTTTGTCCCTTCTCTTTGTGTTTGAGAACACTTTGGAGCCTTCGTGCAGGTTTTGTGTGCTATTTCACAGCTCAGGCTTTCGCCTGGTGACCCTTAAGGAGTGCTAATGAAGTCGAATACTAGCGTTTAATCCTCTTCAGAAATACTAACATGCCCATCATCCAAAACAGCCTCCAATAATTGCCATTGGGCCCGATCCAACGCCTAGCGAAGTCTTTCAGTCAGTTAACTGAAAACTAAGTTCATCTGCTCATTTAGTAAATTGCTAGCCTTTATATAGCATCAACTCCGCAAGGCCTTTTGTCATGCTTCCCTCACTCCCTCCCACCCTCTGGTTAAATTCCTTCGCAGATAATAAAGGACGGTGGCACACCTTCGATTGCATCTTCTGTAATCACAGTGGTGGAAATTTCATTAGACAGATGCATAAATGCTACAAGTAACACTAAAGGACTCTTTTGCATCTTTCTGCTTACATCCAAAAGACATTCTCTATTCTTTAAGAAAAGTATCATTCAGTTGTCAGAAATGTCATCCTGCCTCAAAATTAGTCATGACTTCAGGTATTAAAATAAAAACTCAGACACAGTCAATATATTTGTTTATTCCCTTCTGAGTGTGGCACAGTGAAGGCATCACTGCCAGTTCTGTGATTCTGAAGTGTGTTTCCGTCCTCAGAGACAAAGGTCCCCGATAGGACTTATTTGCTGAGTTACTTTCCAGTAATGTTGCTGTGCTGACCAAATGGAGCCTGACCTGAACCTCCTCCATCCAGCACGCCTTTTATCAGCTAAAGTTAAGGCCAATAGAGATTAACAGGAAAGCTTGATAAGACTGTTTTCTCTTCTCCTGTGAGCTTCTAATGGTGTATACAGATGGCAAGGTTTTAAAGAATGGAATGAACACTTATTTAGGCCTGTAAAAAATCACAGAAACACCCCCCCACACACGCACACACTTTCCATCTTACTAACTCCTTTTCTTCAATCAGGCCACTCTTCAGGAAAACCAAATTGCTCTTTCTTTTTTTTTTTTTTTTTTTTATTTAAACCCCAACTGCTTTTATTATTTACATCTGGTGGTCCCCTTATTTATGTCCCTCTCCACTTCCCTGCACACATATCCCTGCTCACAGGGCTGCGAAGCATTATGGGCCTTGGCTCTCAGCAGGAGAACTCCACACTGTCTTCAAACAAATAATTAAGGGGAAGGTTAAAGGTTCACCCAGAGGTCATATCTTTGGATACTCCTCAGAAAGTTTACATTAGTAAGAAATGGGTGCCCTCTGAAGTGTTCTTTCAATGGGCTTGCACAACAAGGCAGAGCATTAAGAAAATTCTACATCCTAAAGGGTTTCAGGTGACATCTGCTTTACCTCTGAGCACAGAGATTGGGATACTGTGCTCCAGCCTTACATATTCGACAGTCTCCACAGACCAAGCCTTTGGGACGAGTGTTGAAAAGCCTATCTTGCCCAGCCATTCACTCCCTGAGCAGTGTGGCCTTATTTTATCCCACTGATGTGAATAAAGCCACTCTTCCACTGCAAACTACCTAAAGGCAATTCACCAGTTGTTTTGAAAATGGGAGTTCACACCCTAAAGTGAGTCCTCCATATTTGTTTTCCTACCAAAACAAACAAAAAAACCAAACAAACAGCCCCAAAGAAACAACCAAAAAAAGGCGATAAAAGTGATACAATTTGTCCAGCTAAAACTTTTGAAAAATAGCTCTTGGGTTTGATTTCTGATTTCATTATTTCTCCATTTTTCTTTTGCACATCTGCATAACAGCAGGTGCAAGCAATGTCCTCTAGACCAGCAACCCTTCCTCTAGAGAGAAGATACACTGATGTATACTTGGAAAGATATAAGAGAACAGGCTTTAGGCATCCAGGTAATCTTGAAATTCCATTTCTATGGCTCCTCTGAAAAATCTTGTTCATAAACAGCATCAGTTATACCCACCAGTGGGTATGTCTGACACATGAAGTTATTTATATTTTCAAGATTGCAGGTGCAAAATACATTTCAGGTGAAGCTAAAAATCGAATCCTAGATTCACTAGCAGTAGCTACATCATGTAATGCATCAGCACAACTGGTAGACAAGGGCACAGAATGCAGTGTTTGTGCATTATTATTTATTCCTTATACTGCCCCATAAATATGCACAGTGCATAATAGAGGCGTAGGAAACAGAGTCCCTGCACTAGTCTTTACATTTTTTGAGGGCTGTTTTTGAATCCCTTGGAGAACCATATCCAGGGCCAAAGTAAAGCAACATCCAGCCTTTTGCACAGCACTTCAGTTTGTGTTGGAGAAACACTCTGATGTAATTTAGGCACAAATGTCTTCAAAAGGCATTAAGAGACAGGTGAAAAAAGAGAACACCAATGCCACTGTTTTCAGCATTATTTGGAACCCTATAAAAGAAGAATTCACAGCTCTGCTCCTGACAATAATTGCTTACCTTGTTCATACCCTTCACCCAGAGGCCAAAGATTGAATGGCCTGAAAAGATGAGTAAAATCTATCAAAAAGACATGGACTTCTTTCTTACTCTGCTGTTAATAGTAATTCCTATTATTTGGATGATAGCAGCAGTTAGAGGACCCAATGAAGCTCAGTCTTACTCCACCCTATGCTTCACAAGCACACTGTCCAAGAGAACTCGGAGTCTGAACAGATTTCCAGGCAAAGCCTGGGGGAGAGGAGAGACGCCTTCTCCCTGTTTGCGGAGGGGAACAGAGACAGAAGGAGATTAAGTGACAAGGCCAAAGTCATACAAGAGATCTTTGGCAGAGCCACACACCCAACATAGATTTCCTCAGTCCTCTTTCAGCGCTCCTACAATCTGCTATCCATATGCTATCTTTCCTTTGTTCCCCCAGCTTAACAGTCAGGCACACTGGCAGGGGACTGCAAAGAGAGCTCACATTGCCACTGTTTGTGCCTTACCTGCTGTGTAGATAAAGAGGGGTCATCAGCCTGCAGGGCTGTGAGGCAATACCTTCACAAACTCTACATTCATATGGCACTTGGTCCTCATTCCAGAATGATAAATGAGGTGTGTAATGTTGAGAAATACATGTCATTGACATAGCAGGCTCAATAAAAAACTCACTCCCAGCATTTTGCAAATGACAGATTACCAACCTTGCTAATTCAAACAATAGCCATTTGAATCGAAAGGTTTTTTTCATCCTGTATTTTTTCTTTAATTGCTAGCTAAAGCAGCCACATCTATTTCCTCCAGTCTTTCTCACACTTTCTGGTTACTTTTGTGGGACAGTTTATGAAAGCACAAATGAACAAGATCTGGCTCAAAACACACAACAATATTGGCTTTTAAAGGAAGTGATTTCACTTTTATCTGTTTACAACAAAACCGAGTAAAGCAGTAAAGGTGCACTAGTGAATATGCAATATAGTCTGGTGATTTGGTAGCACTAGTCCTAATTGGTTCCTACCACTGATAATTAGCATGACAATATAATCTAAATATATGCATTTAATCACATCTCTTCAAATAGACACTTGGTTTTCTTTGTCCAAAATAAATATGCATTCTTTACTTTATAGGAAGTCCTGTAATTAATCTTCTTTATATATTTATCAAATTTTATCTCAAGTCATATCAAATGATGTTAAACTACAATTTGCATAATATATTTTATACTTATAATAAAATAACTTTCTGATAAAATCATAGAGACATATTTCTGCAAAGCTCAAAGAGAATAAATAGCAAATAATGATAGTTCAACCTGCTTCTTCAAATCTAGCACGCTCAAAAATATTTTTGTTGTTGTTTCCACTGTTTTTTTTTATATATACTGTACCTATATTTTGAAACACCATGAACACACCATAACTGTATTAGTTATAATAATAAGATTAGTTTTTGAAATGAACTGTTAGTGACTGTACTGATTGGCAATCACAATTAGAAACATCTCCAACTTTACTTTACAGCTATCATGGAAAATTCACTTTAAGTATGTAGGGTCACAACAGGTCTTGTTTCAGGAGGATGAAGTACATGAATGCTTAGGAAACTGTAACTCGTTCCCAACTGGAGGCCTAATCTGAACTCAAGCAGAGAGTGATATTTAACTCCCATCACTTGTCTTTATGTCTAATATCTCCTCTGCAATGAACTGGTGCCAAACGGAACCCCAGCAGCACACACTGCTCCCCATGAGAAACTGAGGAACAACATGGAGCCACCACGAACAATGCAAAACTTCAGTGTCAGTCTTCAATCTGGATTTCCACTTAAAATATCCATCCCAGAAAACGAGGTGCTAAAATATTGAATTTATTTAACAAACCAGCCACTGCATAAATCGGTTCTCAATTCTTTATGTGAAAACCAGAGAAATAAACAAATTTGTGAGATGAATTCACAATAAGTTCTTTAAAAGGATTAATGACAAGGAATGTTCTGACTCAGTTTTAGCCTGAGACACTTCTGCTCTTGGACCTGAAAAGGACAGAAGTACTGAATGAAAATTGTCACAGACTTAGTCACAGAAATAATAAAAATAAAAGTAACGACCATAGCAACACTAATTTGGTGTTAGAATTGTTTGCTGTCATCTGAATAAAAAAATTAATTTTTAAAAATTTTTAGGTGCCCAGGGAAACAGTCTTGCAAGATTTTTCAAAAACCTGCCAAATGGATGAGAAGCGCAACTCTTATTAAACCCACATAAATGAGAGGTGAGCTTGAAGAATAAATGGGGTCTAAGCACCTGTTTCAGTGTTTTTGCTGAGTAAGAGTCTAAGAATGCATTCTAAAAAGTAATCCAAATGTTTTCACCTTGCATGGGGAAATAAATCCTTGCCTAAATGATATTTCAGTATTTGGACTATGAACATGTCATTAGCTCAAGTGCATATGCTACACTGATCCCTTGTTGCCCAAGAATGTCCTAATTTTGAAGGGAAAATAACCAATGAAAGAGTCACAAAATACGTCTTCCTGAGTAACCTAGAAAATTACTTCTTTCCCAAGCAGAAAAAAAATAGATTTAAAGTCGTGAGCTGCTCAGAGCAGTATGAAATAATGCATTAGAAAAGACTAATTTGCAGAAACACTTTTATCAATATCCACCCCCTGCCTTTACAGCAGTCTTTGTCTATCACCTAAACTTTTATCTGAGCAAGTAAAATCTATTTATCTTAGTTTATTTAACTTCTCCCTCCACTATGTATTGTAAACTGACAGAATTAGGTTTATGAGTCCTTCAGTATGTGTATGTACAAAAATAGTTGAAAAAGCCCTTGTTTATGCTTCACCGAATCTACGCCACACCTGGTTACCAACTCATATTTTCAGCATTCCTTATAGGAAATTTTAAAAAGCTGAGTTAGTCACCTGGAAATGAGCCACCTAAACAAGGCTTCCCTAAGTCATGAATATTGAGAAATGGAGTCAGTTATGTGATTGCTTTTGAGAGGAAGCGGTAGGGACAGGACGGTTTACTCCCTGGCAAAGCTTCACCTAGTTTTGGACAGCTTTTGTTAGAGGAGGGGGGTTCAGGGCTTCTTACGAGACTTTATAAAGCTTATTCAGACATCTCACATCTGTCAAAGATGTGATTCAAAGCACTTAAGTCCCATCCACGTTTGGTGAAGACTCCAGAAGATGACAGAGAACAACTTAGTTGAGTGCCTGAGGCTGCCTGAGGTAGGTGCGAACCATCCCAAAGACTTCTGCCGCATCTTCTATGTTTATGTTGGACCTCCTAAAAATACCTAGTGCCATTTGGAGCTGCCAATTGTTGGAAATCATGATTTTGCTCGTCCTGTAACTGTGAGACTGTCCTAAAAAAATCAGAAATTTAAACAGCGCTCTCCCCAGTGTTTACTTTGCGAGTTTTTCAGTCATTGCGCCACATTTTAAAAACAGCCACAAAATCTAGAAACTTACTTGACAAGATTCTCACATAACCATTGTCTCCTGGAGCTGGGACCTCGAGTTAACATGAAATAACTTGAGCCTTGTGATAAAATCATGAGAACTGGCAAGACGGGCATCTATTCACCTCAGAGGAAAATCTGCCTCGTTAAACGTGTAACTCTGGGTTACCAGACTACTCCTTGGGAGCGCGGAGAAAGGATTTGGCTCTGCCGAGGAAAGCCCTGGTGGCTGTCAGGAGAGCACCGGCGCTGCAGCACAGACCGGGGGAGCCGCGCTGCCTCGCCCGGGCCAGGGGGCTGTGCCCGGCAGGGCAGGAAAGGCNCACCACACGCACTGCCGCGGGTGGGCACAGCTCCCCTCACCAAGCCCCGGCAAACCTCAGCCCAACTGGGAAAGTATCGTCCCTTAGTGCCCCTTGGCTCCTGGTGGGAAACAAGCGCCCTTTGGTGCATACCGCCTGAAACCACAGAACACACGCCGGAGGAGGAGGCTGTTCCTCTTTTGACAGCCCCATCAGGTTGCTCATATATGGTTTTTTTACCACGCACCGTAAAAGTGATCTTTTAAAGGTACTTGAAAGGAAGGGAGGAGACAAACAGACATACTTCCTTAGCTATTCATATCTTACAGATAAAATGTAAAGTCAATAGACACAAGGCATAGCATAGCATTTAACCTCATCCTGCACTTGATTTACTGCAGATGGAAATCAACTAGAAACTGAATCACTTTGAAATTTTTACTACTGACATTAAAATTCCATGTTTGTATACATACCTCTTGTGGAGATGCTAAATACAATTTTAGCTAATTTGGCATGCACTTTGATTTGCTAGCTCTTACAAATTCATGTTAAAGGTAGACAACAAATCTCCTCTAAAATTTTAAGTAACTCATGCATTTAAAGATGTGTTAATTTGTCATCTTAAACTCCTAGGAAAAGATTTTCAAAACTAATTAGGGTCCAACAGTCTTGCAAACGCAGAAGGACCTCATTTTAGGTAACTTTAAAAAAACCCAAACAAAGTGTAGTTGTTGAATAACATCACATTCAAGTATTTTACACCTCTTTGTAACTTACCAATATTTACATACTAATTTTTTTTAGCAATTCAAAATGGATCGAAAAGGAGAGTTGTCAACAAATTTAACATCTGTTTAACTTCCCTGATCAAATAAGATTAAGGCACTAATTCTCCCTTTTACGTTTCAGTGGAAACTACCTAAGTAGCAACTTGCCAAAAATGCATAAAGGTGTTTAGCAATTATGTATTGGGTATGTTTGAAGAGATCAAGGTGCGCTCACATGTCCTGTGCTATGGGTATCTCTGATTAGCTTGTCATCTACTCTGAAGAAGATGTAGCCCAACTCTCCTATACTATGTAACAGGCCAGCTGTTAGCTGTCTGTCAAGCACCTAAAGTGGACAAGTAGTCCAGGAGCAAAAATGTCACTCCTTTGATCTGGCAAGGAGCAGCTGCTGATTTATAGAGTAGGACTTTGTTCTTCCGTTCCATTTTACTTTCTTTCCTAAGGCAGAACCACAAAATCCAGCAGAAAAAAAAAAAGTGCCATTCTCTGCAACATCAACAAGCTCTGACAACTGCAACAGGGTTTTTCTTGGCCCTAACAAAGCTCTCAGGCATCTCCTTTGACGCTCACCTTTTTTTTTTTTTTCCTTCTTCTTTTTGCAATGCGGTAGTTATTGTTTAATTCAGCTTCTGTAAATGGAATGGACTGTGGCCAGCAAGCCTGGGGCATAAACACACCTGTATGAAAGAAGCCTTATTGTAGCAACCATCTACAACCAACCTGCACATGCACTACCAGTTTGTGAGTTCAGAAGGAATGTTCCATTTTCCCTAACAGTAAATTTTGCCTTAAGATAACTATTTTTTGTACCCACTGTCCTGTCTTGACCACTAAGCTTGTACACTTTTTCATTGTTATTAAAATCTGAAGGAAAAAAAAAGTGTATTTTTCTACCTGTCAGCCAGGGAATGTCAAGAAATTGGATCCAAAGAGCCCACTTTAAAAAAAACACAGCCAAAACATATTTATAGAAACACACTGCTGAAAGTTTGAAAACTAGGATCCTGAAGATGTCTGTTCTGTTTCAGACCTAGTGGTGCAGTTGCAAGAACCTCCAGCTTATACTGCTGCAGGTTCTCCTCAAAAAAAGCATTTGGCAAAACAAGAACAAAGTAAGAAATCGCATTTGATGCAGCCAACCAGACTGCAGCACTGCCAGCCCAGAGTCAATGCTCCATTCACTCCCTTAGAAAGTGCTCAGCAGATTCCATGTGGTGATCTGTTACTACACAGGCTGTTGAAGTCCTGTCTCGCCCATTGGTATAGCAAGAGAGTTTTCCTTTATTTCCCTTATGATGTTTTCAAGCTTATTAGCTAAAAACCCAAACCTACAGGGCACAATAAAAGGCTTCAGTGTAACACTGCTGAAGAGGAGAGAAGCTGTGTGTTTGACCCTGGTTTGTGTCCACACACATGCTGTGTTCACTTTTCTTTATACTGTAACTTTAAAAACAGACAAAAAAGGATTACAAGAACAAAGATGGGAAGAGGTGAGGGTGGTGGGGGCGACATCATGACTACAAGATCTTTTGCATATATGTTAGCTTGTGGAAATAAATAAGAACTATTACAGCCAGAGCCCTAAGGGAGGCAGGAAAATGATGATGTACAGGATAGTATAAAATGATATATTAAAAACTGTGCTGTCAGTGGAACAATAGAATATTAAGCAAAAGTCCATAATAATTGGCAGATATTTAGCTGTAGACATCTTTCTTTGGTTGGTGGGTACTAAAGTATACGTGAGAGGAAAGAGAACTAGTTAGGCAATTAGAAGTAATGGGCATAAATAATACACTATGTATAAATACATCTCCCCCTTTCCCAAGTTATAGCTCTTATCTGGATACACCTAATAACCTCTCAGTAAGTCATACCTACATGCTGACATCCCTTTTGCTTTGCTCTCAGCACTGTCTGGGTACTGGAGATTCTGCTTATGTAAATCTCTTTCTGTAGATGCAGATGTTAAATGTTTTCTCTTTAATTTTTGCCATACTAGTGGCAAAACTTCATCAAACCAGAGGGTCTAATGTCTTAGTAGTTAAAGATGTGTTGACACCACACAGCACGAGACTGCAGCCTGCCATGTTATGGAATATACGCTTCTCAGTGATGAGCTGGTAGCAGAACAAATGTGGAACAATTATATTAAGTATGCCAAGATGAAGAGGTAAATATACAGATCTTCCCAATGCCATACTGGTGAAAATTTTGCTATCTCTCATCCCATCTTGTGTTCTTTGTATTTCGCATGAATCAGAGGGAAATGTTCTAAAAAGATTTTTGAGAGTTTCTGACATATGAGCATGTTTCATGGATGCTTGTATTTTAGTTGTAAGCCAAACTGGTTTGGGATGGAAAAACTGAGAATCTCTGTAGAACCATTTCCTCAGCTGATCACTCTGGATCCCAGGCTCTCATATTTCCTGACCTTCATCTCTCCAGGGCTCAGTCTTGCTCCCTAGCCTACCTTGCTGGCTCCCCAGAGATAATTGCAAAGTACAGCTGGCAAGTCAGTGATAAAGCTTGCTGGTGCTCTGCAAGGGTCCTAGATGGCCAGATATGCTGTGATTGAGGACATATATATAAATATTACACCATTTCTTGTCTCTCTTCTTTTTTGAACAAGCTTCTGTCTTCTGAACAAGCAAGGACTGAAATATTGAATGTTTGCTCTTTCTAAAACATTTGAAAGGCTGGGTTCTCCTGATTTCAGTACTAAGTTGGCTTATGGGCAGAGCAGAGCATTGAAGAAGCCTGTGCTCAAGTGCACAATGTTTCAGTTGTTGGCTTTCCCAGCTAAAGAGAGGCCTTCTTCTAATTCTTTCCTCTGTTAAAGGATGGGTAGCAGGAGATGGTTTTTTTTTAATGCAGTCATTAGCACTTAAATAGCTCATGTGAAAATTAAATCCTACCACAGAAAGAAACTTGAAACATATTTCTTCAGTCAAAACTGGCTAGTTCTGTAATGTGTTCCACTATCCCACATTTTGCATACAATTGAGATATTTGTCATGAAATGAAGCCCAATCTATATAACCTATCTAATATTTACCTTTCTTTATGAGAGCAGTTTGGAAACTGTGTGTGATCTTACATAATTTTAATAACTCGTTGCTGATGGATTTCAATATTAGCTCTGACTGCTCTCACTGATAGGATGTTGAGGCTTAATTTTCAGAATTTCACTAATTGTTCCTAGGCTGTGTAGGGGTAAAGGCATCTTAGAATGTGTGTATAAACCTGCATTTGAGCACACAAAACTGGTAATTGCAGGGACATATCCAACAATGCATAATTTCATCCTGGTCTAGTAAAGCACTCAGATGTAGAAGGCAAATTTTCAAAACGATCAAGTTCTGTTATCAAAATCATCATAGACTCTGTAAAACTAATCCCAAATGTTCATTGAATTTCTGACTTAAAAGATAATACTACCAAATGGGTGTTGACATTAGTGCCTAAATTATAGGCAATCTGCTCTCAAGGAATTTTCTGTCTCTGGTTAGATGTTCCAGGAATCACCAGAAGGTGGACTTAGATACCTAACTACATTTTTTTAGTTAAAAAAAAAAGAAAAAAAGCCATCACTTAACACTGAAAATGCCTACATTGTTTAGGCATGTAGATTTCTACTTTTTAAGATCCCATCCCACCTTAATTTTCACTGCTTTGTATTTGTGTTCCTAACAGTCAGTTACTTCCTGCAGTAACTGCGCTCTGTCTCCAAGTTAAGACATTTATGTCCAATCAGGATTCCTATGGATCCTTTTAGACAGACAGACATCTTAGGACAGGCCTGTTCGTCCTTATAATAACAGAGATAAATATCTCTCCTTTTTAGCTGACACCATAATTATTTGGCTGTTTATCTGAAAAGAAGGAGATCAAGTTTTACCTCCCTATCCTGCTTGATTTGGAACACAGACATGAGCATGGGTCCATCGCATTCTAAAGGAGTATCTGAATCACCCACAGAGTCAGTACAATAAACAAAGCCCTTTCAGTTCATGTTCTGAAGATGTTCCACCCAAATTAAGCAATTTTACAGCCATAATTAACCAGCACTTCACTTTCACACATCTGAAGTTGGAACCTTCACCAAGAGGCTGTTATAGTCAAGCCCATGTTCTTAATTAATTTTGTTCTAGTGACTAGTTGTTACATACACAAAAGAACTGGAAATCAGGAGAACAAGAAAGGCATGATAGTGAAGAAGAGTAAAGATGGAGCATTATGTTCAATAGCCCATTGATTGAGAAACTCAACTCAATTGGAACAGTTAAGACATTGATTTAAATCAAGATGAAGAGAAGACCTGCAAACATATATTCTATTTAACAAGTGAATTTTCTAGCCAATGAGCCATTGAGGATAGCTCTACCCCATTTGACTCTTTTGTGCAAAGCTTGGTATGGCTGATGTACAAGAACTTTGGCTGAGTTTGGCCCTTGAGGAAGTTTGGTCCTTGAGG